TTTGATCTGTCTATGTAATCATCATTATATAATCATCAACAACCAGAGAGAGAGAGAGAGAGAGAGAGAGAGAGAGAGAGAGAGAGAGAAATCCATCATCATAATCTTGATGATGGATTTTCAGCCATCATTTTTCTTTCACTGTAAAAAAAAAAATTTTGTATGAAATAAATCCGCAAAGATCAAGATGGATCATGTTACATGCATTTTTTCCTTCGAATCACATCAGTAGAATCCAAGAGTAGATCACAGATTCCATAATGACAAAGACGAAAAACATTTTTTTTTTTTGGCTTATTTAAGTTAATCATGGCGATTTGGATTGATTGATTTTTTTCTTGTTGATAATCATTTTAAAACGAGTAAAAGAAGAAGAAAGAAGAAACTCTAGCAATATTTTCCAGGTGACAAGATTCACACTGGCTAAAATCAGAATGAAAAAACAAAAATGACCAAAAAACCAAATGAGAAAAAAGACCTAGACATTCATTCATTCATTCATTCATTCAATCATTCCTGACCAATGACCTTTGCTTTTTTTTTGGCTGTCATTCATTTTTGTCGATGATGATGATACTATCGGTTTGTTCATATACGAATTGAAATTCCCAATGGACATTCCAATGACATATTTCGTTGTTGTTTCTTTACCTCACTTCTGAAAAGCTCAATTCAGATAATTTTCGTTTTTTTTTCAATTTCACCTGTATACCTGTGGCTGTACTTTCACTTGTTTCAAATCAAAATTGTAGTGTAAAAATTTCATTTCATGTTTTTTCAGTCTCGTCCGAAGATATGAATCTTTCTTTTATTTCTTCGTCGTTAAACCTTAAACAAGACCAAATAGTCGTCCACCAAAAAATCAAATGTAAAAAAACACCATTCATTCAGCCATCATTACTGCAATGTGGTTTTCTTCTTCTTCGTTGATTATCGTCGTCGACGTTTGATCCCTTTTAACTCGTTGTTGTCCAGTGTGTGTATGTGGAATGTGGTGGTGATCTCCATGGCATTGAATTTGAATGGGAAAAAGCAGAAAAACATTTCGGGAATGTTGACCACCACCACCACCAAAAAACTAAACCAATTCCAAATGTATAATGGTCAAGTGGAAAAACGAAAAAAACGATTCAAAACATTTACATGGTTAGTTACATTGATCATTCGGGGGGGGGCAAACAAAAGTAGAGTAGAAAACCATTCAATTAAATTTGAAATTTTTCACTGGCCTTCCCATTTTTCCCAATGATGATGATAATCACGCGCTTTATCTTGAACCAAATTTTTTTGCTCGTGTTTTTCATCGATGGCCCACAGGGTTTTTGTTGTTTTGGCTACTTGTTGAATTCACACACGATTTTTCTCCCTGGCTTTCTTTTTCAAACTTTTAATTTTTTAAAAAGTTTCCTCGCTTATTGATCATCATTGTCGGATCGATCAATAATGATAATAGTGGTGGTGGCGGTGGCGGCGGCAATTTGACGTTTACGTCGTCGAAAGTCTGTTTTTGTTTTTCAAAATCCCGAAAAATGAAAATGAAAATCTATTGATCTGGTCTGCCTCTCATTTGCAACCAAAACAAAACAAAACAAGAAAAAAAATCAATGGATTTTTTCAAGTATAGTACACACACACACTTTTCGTGAGTTTCGTTTCGCTTCTTGCTGGTTTTTTTGTTTCAAAACAAAAACCCGGGACCAGAAAAAAATTAACCTCGAAAATCAAAAAGGCAATGCTTTTCGCCAGGCTCACTGTGCATGTCACTTTTTTTGACTAGAAATTCGTGTGTGCTTTTGATTGAATGAATGAACGGAATGAAAACAAAGCTAAAATCAAGATTTTTTTAATTTTATTTTTACATCACGATTTCGAAAAAAAAGATTATTGAAATGAATGCAAATGCCCAAAAAACCGAAAACCAATTTGAATATTCGTTTTCGAAAAGTAAATAATTTTTTATTAGCATTTTTTCGTTCAAAAGTTTAAAGAATTTTTCAGAAAAAAAATTCATGATTTAATTGATTCCCTGATACCTTCCTTTATGTGTGTTTTCTTCTTCTTTCAAAAAATCTTTAATTACAACAACAACAAAACTCGAAACGAAATCTTAATAAATAATAAATATTTTTTTTCGTTTGCAAAAAAAAAGGTAAATAGTGATTATAAGAATCATCATCATCATCATTTTCGGAGAGAAAAACAAAACTACCAATATATTACCAAAGTAAAGTAAAAAAATTCAAATCAAAAAGATGATGATGATGATCAATTTAAATGGCGCCAGCCAGCTCGAATGACCAATAGACGATTACGAAGACGACGACGACATTCATATTATGAATATTTTGAAAAAAAAGAAAGAAAATCTTCTTTTTTTATGATTATGATGGTGGTGCTTGCATGCAGCATGTCATGACTTGAGGTTTTTTTTGGCTTGGTTTTTTTGGGTTTTCAATGAATTTCGTCGAGTTTTTCATCAAAAGCAAATATGATCAAAAAATGATCGATATTGGTTGATCGAAAACAATTGATCTTTTCAGTTTCCAATTTTTGTTGATTTTAGCATCGATGGCTATTAAAAATCTGTTCATCAAAATAGAATTATTTCGAAAATTTCTTCTTCTTTTCTGATAAACTTTTCAATTTTTTTTTCACCTCCAAAAAAGAGACTGTAGATGAAATGAAATGATGGATGTAATGAATGAATCGAATTGAATTTTGATAAACCAAAAAAAGAAAAGTCCAAATAAAATGATAATTGTACACATGTCTTTATCTGATGTTTTTCTGGTAGCTATCTTTGTGTATTTCTCTAGTTATTTTTTTTCATTCATTCATTTGATGATTATTTTTCAGTGAAAAAATAAAAATCCTAGACAAAAATCTGTGCTGCGTTGACCTTTGACAAGAGCAAGAGAGGCCAAAATATGTGATAGAATTATTTTTGGCTAAGGAAAGATTCGCGAAAATGATGTTCATTTTTGGATGTTTTGGCTGTTCATTTTCATTTTCATGTTTGACAATAATGATGATTATGTCCATACCACCATCATCATCATTTTTTTCCAAATTCATTGATGGTCGCCAATGAATATTTTCACCATCATCATCATCGTGTTTCAGAAGATCGTAAAATTTGTTTATGATAAAAAACGCGCCACTTGTATTTGTAAACGAGATCAAAAGGGCAATTTTCTGGCATTTTTTGCCTTTAGCTAGCTTTCGAAGTAAACAAAAACTATTTCTACCTGGACATTCGACCAAGAGAGAGAGAGAGAGAGAGAGAGAGAGAGAGAGAGCGAGAGAGAAGGAACCCGAAGGAGAGAAAATTTTTCTTCTCCAAATAATTGNACTGACTTGACTGGACTAACTAAGTGACTAACTTGACTTGACTTGACTGAAATGAAATAAAATGAATGAACAGAGTCAAGTCAAGTCGATTCGATTCGTCGATGATGATGGTCAGATAATGATGGATAAATGGTGAAGCGAAGTAAGATAAGAAAAAAAAAGGCCCCGAACAAAAAAAAACCGAGCTACCTGTTTACCTGGTGAAAAAAAATTCAGATTTTTTTTTTGCCGAATATTTTTCAATCAATTTCATCATCAACAACATGACTCTAGGGCAGTGATTCTCAACCCGTGTGCCGCGGCACTTTGGTGTGCCGCGAAATTCTGAAAATGCAACTGTTATATATTCAAAAATCACTGCTCTAGGGTCTTTGAAAGAAACAAGGTTAAATTGTTAAACGAGTTAATTATCAATTAAATGCTTTTTTCAGCTTCTTGTTTTTTTTTTGTTTTCAGGTAAAAATTACTTTTTCAAAATTTGAAATTTTCCAGTTTTTTGTTGTTGTTTCGCTTCAATTTACAAGTGAATTTGTTTGCCATTGAAAAACAGCTTGAAAATTTGTTTTTTTTCTTTTTTTTAAAAAAAATTTATCAAATTAAAATTGAATTTTTCTTGTGATTCATTGTCTTCGTTTTCTCTTTGTATTCTTGATGATTGAATTTTGAAATTTTTTTTTTGGTGTTTGATTGACCAAAACAAACAATTTTATCATTATCATCATTCGTTAATTGAAAATAAAATGAATGAAAATTTCATTCATTCATTCATTCATTCTCTTCAACTGTCTTTGGCTTGATGTGTTAACGAAAAAAAAATCAATCGAAGTCAGGTATTTTTCTTTGAAAAGTAAAGTAAAGAAAAAAACGACATCAACTTTATTATTATCAAACAAACATCATCATTATTTTGGTCGCAAAAATTCAAAATGGCAGTTTGTTTTTTTACTGATTTTCGGTCCTGACATCTCAGTGAGTGAACGAAGTAGAGAAGAAGCGAGAAAAAAAAATTATCTTTTATCTTTCTTCGTTTGATTAGGTTTTGCTTTTTTTTCATTTGCAAAATGAATGACCATTTTCGTTCATTCACATTCTACCCCAGTCAGTCAGTCAGTCAGTCATCAATGAAAAGAATGTTTGTGTGTAACGTAAACGATAAAACGAAGAAGCGAAACATCATCTTATAAGATGATGATGGTAGTGTGTGTGTGTGTGAAATTATTACATCCAGAACTTCCACCATTCACTCACACATGGACATTGACTGAGTAAAAGAAAAAACTGAAAAAGAAAACCTTAAGGGCAAAAATATCTATAAAAATCTGGTTGGTCGTTTGAAGATTTTGATGAAAAAATTGAGAAAAGGCATCAAGATGTGGAATCCGCAAAAAACGAGAATTTTTCATAGTAGTTTTTTGTTTTTTACATTGACATAATCAATAATCAGGCAGGAAAGAAAAAAGGATGCTAAGATTTGAATGAATTTTAGTTGAATGAAATAGTTTTGGGTTATGTTTTTTTTTTGAAACAAAATTTTAAAAAAATTTTAAAAATTCAAACCGCGTGAGAAATTCATTTACAAAACCCGGGAATTATAAATCTCTTTTTTCTCCCCATTATCATCATCATCATAATGTCATTTTAATAACGGGAGAAAGAAAAAAATCCAAACAACCAGAACATATGGCATACGACCTTTCTTTTCTTTACATTTTTGTAAATTGAGATCATCATCAATGTTATGCGACAATTTTTCCATTGATGCTTAACTGCTGTTGCTTCTCGGTAAAAAAATCTGCTGAATGGAAAAATATTCGGTCAGTCTTGGTTTGGTCGATTATTACTGGGAGAGAAGATCTCTTTACGCAACCAAATTACTCAGCCAAATTTTCCAATCAATTGAATTGGAAATTTCCAAGAGTTTTTTTCTTCGATCAAACTCAATCTCCATCGACTAATTATAATGTTTTTCTGTTTTGTCTTATTTCATTGTTCGACCTCTTTTGACCTTTGTTCTTATAACGAAGCCAAAAGAAAAAAATAAATTCCAAAACATAAATCATCAAACATAAGAAAGATTTGGTATGGCTAGACAACAACAAAAACGACGATTTTCTCATTTTCCTCCTTGAATTTCATAATTAAGAATTTTCTTGGTTCGTTCAGGATCCAAAATTATCATCAGCCATCGAAATATTAGACATTTTTTACTGGTGGTGTTATTGATGGTGGTGGTCAACATTGATTATCATCAACCGAGAAAAAAGTCAAAGAAAAAGATTGTTCGTTTCCATTCCATTCATTTCATTTGCTGTTATCAAACAAAAAATAATAATTTTATCTACAGCAGCCCATACATACACAGAATGTTTTTTTTGTTCTAATGTATGTTTCTTTCGATAAAAAACATGCATTCATTTTTTTCTGGCGACAAAAATAAAAAACATGCCTAATTATTTTGCTGGTTTACTAATGAGCCTGAACAAAATTTCTTGAGGAAAAGATAAAATTTTGTGAAAAAAAAATCTTTAAGAATGTTCCATTAACATGTTTGGCGTTTTTTAGTGGTGAAAAAATTGATTTTCAATCTTGCAAAATTCATTTTTTTTTTCGTTGATTTTTTGCAATTGATAAATGAAATTTTTCAATCAAAACAAGTTTCATTTTCATATTTTCATATTTCTGTTTGGAACAATGTTTTTTCCAAACTGTCATTCAACAATTTTTTTTGTTTAGTTTCATTTTTCGTTGTTTAAATTTTTCTTTTGAAATTTAGAAAACAAAAATGATGATGATATCATATGATGATGATGATTTTCTCATCCACTTTAACCACCCATAAAAGGAATCTGAAAATCCATTGGATAATCTTTTTTTTACAAAGTTTTTCAAAAGTTTCATGTTTTGATTGTGGATTAGTCATTTGTTTATCATCATAAAAGTCATCATCATCAGGAATGAAAATAAAACAAAAAAAAATTTGATATCATCGATGATGATGATGATGATGAAAATAAATCTGTAAATTGTTTATGTCTGTTTATGGTAATCATCATCATCATCCAATCAATCTATCATCATCATCATCAATAAGTGTCTCTCTCTCTCTCGCTGTGTGTGTATGAAAGTAAATTGATCCATCCATTTAGTTTTTTGTTTTGTTTTGTTTCGATGAGGATAATGATGATGGATAAAATAGAAAACAAAAAAAGCCGAAATAAACATCTAGTGAGTGTGTGTGAATGACGCCTACGCAGATTAATCCAGAAAATTTTTTCTTTTTTTTCATCATAGAAAATCAATAACGGTAATAAGATATTTTTTTTTCTTTGCGCAAAATTGCGAATAATTGATAACGGTGGTGATTTATTTTTGAAATTGAAAAACATTCACAAATTTTTTACTTGGAAATTCAATTGAACAAAAAAAAACAAGGGAAGAAAGACAACGAAGACAAATCACAGGGCTTCTGAACATCATGTATTCATCATTATTATGGTAAACCAAATGATATGCATAGAAACATTTTCCTTAAAGATTATCTTTAATTACGTAGGCGAATACACAATACTACTGACACACACACACACAGATGTTTTGTTTGTTTGTGAATGAATGAATTTCATTGAATATCTTAACACCAGTCAGCCAGCCAGCCAGACAAGAAACCGAATTTCATTCAGTTAGATTTATTTGTTGGCAAAGCTGAAGCTGAATGAGTAAGTAAAAAAAAAGTCATACAATTTACAAAGATTTTTTTCTATATTTCTTTTTATATAATAAGAGAGTATACGCGTGGGAAAAAAAACTGAAAACTGAAAAAAAAATGTTCGGATGGTTTACATTTTACTATATGATAGTATTTCATTTTGGAAAATGGTCCCCTTCGCTTTGAACAATTCACACGAATGAATATAACCCACAATGAAGAAACCAGGGAGAGAGAGAAAAAAGCTGAAATGTAAAAAATTGGATCAAAAATCTAGCTGAACCCAGTAATGCTTCAACGAAGAGAGAGAAAAAAATATCGGTTGAGTATTTTGTGTATGGGGAAAATAATAATAAAAACTGGAAGATCTGGAACCAGAACTGAATCATCAATCACACACTGTACAGTGTTTACTATGAAAGTTTTGCTTTGTTGTTATTTCCCCTTTTTTATTTCTGATTTGAAAAATTTTTATCTATTCAAAAAAAAGGATCCCATACGGTGATCTTTTATTCATTCAAAAATTATTATTGCATCAAATTTTTTTCTTTAATTTGTTTTTTTTTATCTTTCAAAGTAAAGTAAAATATGTCTAGGTGTCCACCGAAAAACTAATTACTGATGGTCGCCGTCGTCATTTTTCAATAAACAAAACTCATTGAAAAATTCAAATAAAAATGCTTTTTTCACGGTTATAACTAACTCTGACTAAATGAACTCTATCTTTTTGGTTTTTTGTCCGACAAATATGTTCCCTGCTGCTGCTGCTATGGTTATATGGACTAAGTGATTTTTTTTTGAAAGCAAAAATCCCAAAACATTTAAAAATCGATCAATTTTTGATTTTTTTTCTTTTGGTGAAAAAAAGATCAAAAATATTTTCGCCGATAATGTTCGTTTTTGGCAAAACAATCAAACAGCAATGACCAAGCAACAAGTGTAAATCACTGGTCATTAAAGGCAAAAGGTAAATTCCACAAAAAAGTAGTATTTTTTTTGGTGACCAAACCTTTGTTTGTTTGAAACCTTCGAAAAAAAATCTTTGAATTTTTCAAGATAAAAATTCTTTCGAATATCTGATCTTCAAATATTTCAAAGTGGAAAATCAAAGTAAAGAAAAGAAATCAAAGAATCATTATCATCATCATTAGGTCAGTAGTTGAATGATGATCATCATCAAACAGCAACTTGTTGAATGTGGTAAGATGTGTGGTTTGATTTTTTTCTGGTATTTTTTGTTTGAACAACAACAAAGAAAAGTAAAAGTTTTCGTTTTTTTTCGATGAAAAAAAACCACAAAGATAATCCCGAAGAGAATTTCGAAACAGATGATGACAGGCTTGAACATTGGGCACACCTTGCCTAAAATACTTATAATGATCATCTGGCTGGCTCTTCATTCATCCATCAATGTTTCTTCATATTAAATCCAAATGAAAATGAAATGAATTTTTTTCCAATTCCACTTCTTGTTGAAAGCAAGCCAGAATTGAATTTTTCTCTCTTATTTTCCCCTCCAAAATGATCAATAATAGATGATGATGTTTCAGGTGATGAATAATGATGATGTTTTTGAAATTAATATGGTGGATTTTCTTCAGTAAAATAGGTCATTAGCCAATGATGATAATGTTCCTGCAATGAAATAATAATAATTCTTTTGACTTGCTTAAGCTTGAAAAAGATTAAGATGCAAAAAAAGATCAGGAAAGCTAGTGCAAATGATGATGATGATGAAGAAAAACGATAAAGTACGATATTCATTTCGTTAAATCCATATAGTGAGATTCTGAAAAGGAAAAAATTTTAAAAAACTTTTGAAAATTTCAAAAAATAAGAAAAAGAAGAAAAAAAAATCTAATCTCATGTCATGTCATGTACTTGTGATTTGTCATCTCTCTCACATCTCATTCATTCGCAACATTGTTTTGCATGTTGCTGTTGAATGGTAATAATAATCCTAATTTATGTTTTTGGACTTAAAAATTTTGTAGTCCACATTTCTTTCTCTCGCTTTCCATATTAATTTGCGAAATTTTCTTCTTTTCATTTGAAAAATTTGTCTTTTGAAAAATCCAGCACATCCAATATTGCACAAGCACACAGGATTTGTTCAGTGTCAAGATTTTTTTCTGCTGTTTCGGCAAATCCTGAAAAATTGACAAAAATCAAACAACATCCAAATTAAAACAAATAAGGCAAATGATCATTTGACCATCATCAATGGTCATTGACCGAACCTTGTAAATAATAATTTTTGTTTCACCTTATGCATTGGTATATACGGTAGCTTTTTTTTGGCTTTCACCAACCAAAAAAAAACTAACGAATATTTACTGCTCCTGGGATCTTATTTTTGGCCATCAACTAACATCATGTAAGAATTGACGAAATCGAAAAAAAATGCAATCAGCTAATTTTACCTGTATGATGATGATGAGCATTCTTTGCCATCATTTTTTTTCTTTTTTTGAAGAAAAAAAACAAATTAAACAATGGCTTTTAAGTGAAAATAACCTACCTTTCTATCTACCTACCTACCTACACACACAGGTTATAATCATCAAAGTCAATAATAATCATTGCAAAAAAAAAATGTTTTTCTGGTTCTGGTGCTGGTTGATTTTTTTTTTCTTCTTCTTCGAAAAAAAACGATGATGATTATTATTTTTGTTTTTCTGTGTCCAGGGCAATAATGATCAAGGTTCGTTCATCATCAACATCGACCTTTGACCTAGTTACTTTTCTTTTTCAATGCAAAAACCACCAGAAGCTTCAATCGTCGTAATAACCAACAGCCAAAGAAAAAATCAATAGACAAGTAAAAGTAATCAAGAAAAGAATCGAAGTAATTTTCAAAAAATTATTTAGCCGACTGGGAAACCTGATGATGTAATAAAAAATGAAAAAATAATAATAATAAAGTGGCAATATCGATTCGGGTTAATATATTTACAAATCTTGAGTTTTGAGTTTTATTTAACACATCTTTAGGTTTTTCTGTATATAGAACCCGGCCATCACCAAGCAAACAAACACAAGAATCATCAACGGTCATCGAACGTTGTTCAAACCAGAAAAAAACTTGACAACAACAACATGATGTGTAAACATTTTATCGCGATAATAAAAAACAAAAAAAATGATTCATGATTCAATCAACCCATCATGATTATCATTTTGAGTTATGTAAACACCAAAACAATCAAATTTTTCGAATGATTTCCTTTACTATCTATTCGAATCTATTTCAACATAACAATGATGACAAGTGTTGAAATATTTTGTGTGAATGATAATTCTTTGAAAAAAAAAACGACGAAAATTTTTCTTTTTTTTTCTTGATAAATTGAATGAATGAAAATGAATTTGACAAATTCACAATCGAGTGAACGCAGGTAAAAAATAAAGAAAAAAATTTATCACCTGATAATTAAATGTTTTGATGTCAATAAAGCACACACACACACACCTTTTTCCTGAAGAATTATCGAACGTAAAATGAAATGCATGACTTCACACATATTCCATCTGTTTGGATTTCATTCATTTATTGTCGTTGATATCGTTGAAACAGGAAACAGGACTATTTTTTTCGAAATCTTTTGATCGAAACAGCAGAAAATAAACGATTCTCAATGAGATAACCTGAATAATGATGATGTGACGATAGATCGATCAGTTCAATCAATCAATCGATCAGATCGATTGATATTAATCTTCTTAACACAGAAATTGATGATGATAATGATGATTAAGATAAATTCATGGATAATAGGACACAGAGCAGATCTTTAGAGAAAGTGAATTTTCTCATTTCTTTTCTTTTTCTTACCTTCTGCTTCTTCTTTTTTCTAATTATAAAACGAAAAACCCAGAAAAACGAAACGAAACGACACGAAAAAAAATCCATTTTGATTCTGTATTTGAATTTCGTCGTTCGTTCATTCATTCATTTATTGACATAATGATAAATGATGATCATTAAGAAATAAAAAAATCTTTATAATCAATATATTTTATGCCAGGTAAATATCATTCGAAAAAATTGATCGACTTAAATAGCTTCTTTTTCGTTGGTTTGTTTTGTTTGAGCTAAAAATTGCGTGCGATTTATCACGATTGATTAGTTTGCCAATATTCATAATGATGGTTATTATTATCAACTTTGATTATTGACCATTTATAAATGATTTTTTTTTCTGATGATATTTATGTTTGCTTTATGGGAATTCATATTTTTGTCAAAAAATCAAAATTTTCATCGCGAGAATTCGATTTTTTTTTTGATTTATTCGAATTCGAAGAAAAACCAACAACGCACTAGCGACATCGGGTGGTGAGAATATGAAAAAAGTTTTTAACATTCGATTTTTTTTTTGTAGAATTCGAACTTTGTTGAAGAAAAACAATTATAATTCTTGATTTATAATTTGTAAGTAATTTTTTTTTTTGTTGGTGATTTTTATTTTTATTTTTTTCTTTTTACTTCAACATAATCATCTTAAATGGATAAATATGTTGGCGTAAAAAAATATATCAAAACAAATAATTCAAATTATCTAATATCGGATTATCTTGGTAAAGGTTCATATGCAATTGTTGTACGGGCTATAAATGTTAATAATAATCAAACAGTTGCCATTAAAATGTTATTATTTGATAATAAAAATGATGAAGAACGCAATAAACGAATAGAATTACTTGCCCGTAAAGAAGCTGAAATTCTTTTTCAATTACGATCACATCGAAATATTGTTGAAATTTTTGATTATTTTCAAACAACAACCAATGATGATGATAATCATCATCATAGTTGTTTTCTAATTCTAGAGCTATGTGCTAATAAGGTAATCGATTTTTTAAAACTTTTTACAATTTTATAATTTTTTTCTTTTCTTTTTCTCTCTTTTAATAGTCTTTGAACAATTTATTACGAAATGAACAGATAAATTTAACAAAAGAAATGATCAAAACATTTTTATTCGATATTATTACTGGTTGTCATTATTTACATTCAAAATTAATTGTTCATCGTGATCTAAAACCCGATAATATACTTATGAATGAAAATTATGTAGCGAAAATAGGTGATTTTGGCCTTGCAACACAATTAGAATCGTCGGATAAATATTTGTATACATTTTGTGGTACACCAAAATATCAGGCACCCGAAATGATATTGAAAAATGGTTATAATTTTCCTGTTGATATTTGGGCAATCGGTTGTATTGCATATCGATTATATTATGGTAATGCACCATTCAATGGAACAAATTCCGATGAAATTTATCGTTCCGTATTGAATAAAAATATTAAATGTTGTCGTATTAGTTGTTATGATTTTATGGTTAATAATGAAGATATTAAAGTGATTCGATCAATGTTGATTAAAGAACCGGAAAAAAGAATCAAAATCGATGATCTATTGGCGAAGAAACGTTTTTTTGCTGATAAATTATCATCTTTGACCATATCAGCAACGACAATATCATCATCATCATCACCCACCGCTCAAAACAATAATCAACAAAAAAATAATCCACGTAAACGAGTACATTTAGATTCAATGATTGATTATCTAAAAGCGATTGCCAATTATGAATCGAATAAATTAATTCGTATAAATTATATACCATATCATGATAATCAATTAACACCGATCATAATGATTAGACAATGGATCGAAATTGCTATGATTGGTTTTGGTTATGATTTGGGTCATAAAACCTATGCGTTCAATTTTCGTGATCAAACCAAAATGATGATGCTGCATAATGAATTCATATTCTATATGGATAACAAAAATACTACTACTACTGCTAATACACAATCTTCTATTTGTGAATTTCAATTAAAATGTTGTCCAGATTTATTGAAGAAAAAATTGAAAATTTTACAACAATCTTTTAATATTTTACATCGAACTAACATTGTTGATGATCAAACAAAGATTGTCCATGATGATGATGGTGATGATGATGATAATAGTATTATTCAACTTTCTCGACAACAACAACAACTTCCTTGGTTGCAAAAATGGATTAAAACCATTGATGTTTTCGTATTTCAATTGGCCAACAAATTAATACAAATAAATTTCAGCCAACAAAAGAAAATACTTTTATTTGATTCGGATAAAAAATCAATGACAATAATTAATCAAAATACACAAAAAAAATTATCATTAGCATTATCATTTATATTAAATGGTAATGTAACTGATCGTATGCGACAATATGTATCGGTTGCATTACAATATATCGAATTAATCAATAAATAATTACAAATAACATTAATTTATAATTTCAAAAAAAAATAATCGAATTCTTATTAGCGATTCGAATATATTTTCAAAACTATCGATAGTATCGATAGTTTGATTTCGAAGTCATTTTTGTTTTGTTTATATTTATGTTTTTTTTTGGTTTTTGGATGTCAACATTGAAAATTTTTGTTTGTTTTGTGTATTTATTGGCAATATTTCCTTTTTCTAAAAAAAATTTGTCAAAACAAAATGGCTAATGTTAATGAAGCAAATGAATGTTATTCAAAAGCTGAAAAAGCGTAAGTTTAAGATAATTTTATAATTCCACAGAAAAAATTTATTCTAAATTTTGTCTATACTTTAATTAATTAATTTAGTCTCAAAACTGGTCTAATGAAATGGAGACCAGATTATGAAATAGCTGCGAATGAATACAGCAAAGCTGGTTAGGATTTTTTTTTGTAATTTATCAATTTTGGTAATTTCAAATAACAATTATTCTTTTTTCTTTATAGCAAAAATATTTCGTCAGGCAAGAATGCCCGAAAAAGCAATCGAAGCAAATTTAAAAGCAGCCAATTGTTATGAACAATCACGATCATATTTTTCGGCTGCTAAATGTTATGAACAAGCCGGTTCAATTTCCAAAGATATGAAAGATTGGGATAAAATGATTGGTTATTATGAAAAATGTTGCCTGTATTATCGTGAACATGGTGTACCTGATACAGCTGCATTAACTTTTAATAAAGTTGCTGGGTAATAATAAATAAATCTTCTACATAAATTCAATTCATTAATTATGTTTTTTTTCGAAATATTAACCATCAGTGTTCTTGAAACAATAAAACCCGAAAAATCAGCCGATTGGTATTCACGTTGTTATGATATTACATTGAATGAAGATCGTTATCTTCAATCGGCTGAATATGCTAATAAAGCTGTACGAATGTATTTAAAATTGAAAAATTATGATGATGCTATACGAATGTCGGAAAAAGCATTCGAAGCTTATGTAACTGGTGGTGAAGAACGTTCAGCTGGACGACAATCAGTTGTTACTGTTATTATACAATTGGCACGTGATGATAGTGTTGCTGCACAAAAAGCATATTTAGCTAATAGAAAATATATTCATCAAGATGAATGTTATACATTGGATCAATTATTTCAAGGATTAGATCAATTTGATAATACAATTATTTATCAGTCATTAAAATCACCATTCCTAAGCAGTATGGATAATGAAATTGTTAAAATTGTAAGAGATTTATTGATAAAATATCAACCAAAAAAGGTGGATAATAATAATTTTTCCAATGTAAATGATGGTGATGATAATTATGAAGATGATGAAGCTGGTGCCGTATTATAAAATCAAAGAACAACCGATATTTTCCCAATACACATCATTGATCACCAATCAATCAATCGATCGATCCATTCCGATTTCCATCATTGATTCCAATTGCTTCATTAATTTTATCATTGTAGATAGACAAAAACAGAAACAGAAAATTACAAATTAAGAAATTCTTTTTCTTCTCCATTGAAATTGATTTCAAACACACCAAAAATCACATTTCTTTGAAATTTTGTTTTTTTCATTATTTTCCTTATTATTATCAATCTAGTCGTGTGTTTTGTGTGTGTGTAATGAATAATAATGATGAATCCGAAAATGTTTTAATAGATTCTATGTGCGTGTATTTTCTCTTTTTCTCTCTTTTAATTCTTTCTTTGATTCTCAACTCAATTACAATTGACAAAATGACAAAAAACCAAAACAAAAGAAAATCAGCAAAAGAATAAATTGATTTGTTTTTGACTTTGTTTTTCGTATTTTTCGTGTTTTGTTTCTAATTTCTGAATAATAATCTGAAATTTATTTTGGAGGGGGGAGATTCATTCGTTGTAAAAAGAAAAACAATGGCCATTAACAATGTCCCGAAAAAGAAGAAGAAGACCAAAATTAATCCAAAGCTCTGTGTTTATTTACTGGCTTTTGTCTTTTGTCTGTGTTTTTCTGCTGGCCAGTTCTATACAGTTTTTCGTTTTTTTTTTCTACCGAAAAAAAACTTTTACTTTTTTTCGCAATGAAAACAACAACAACAACAACAACTAAACTGAAAAAACTCCAATTTACCAGAATATGACCAGAATTTTTTCTTTTTCTTCGTTTTCGTTTTTTTCTTCACTGTTGGATATAGCCAAATGCATTACACACATTCAAAAATCATCGTGTAAAGAATAGATGATGATGATGATGACGACGTCGAAACTGTTTTTGCACATAGAGAGAGAGAGAGAGAGAGAGAGAGAAGTATAGTACAGTTTGAAGAAGGTTGATGTTTGATGTTGATGATGATGATGATGATGATGAAGCTAATGGAACCTTTTCCGGTCGGCACGCAAACAAAACCGGAACTGCAGTCAGATGAGATGATGATAGTGGCAATGTTAAATGGTATATGTCTGTATACAGAGAAGAATTGCTTATTTTGCAGCAGCAGTTTGCCACACGAAATATTGAACATTTTTGTTGTTGTTGTTATTCTATCATCATCATCATCATCAGTTAGCTAGAATAGAATAATATTCCAGACGATTCTACTTTTTTTTTTGATTTGATTCTTTTTTTCAGATATTTTGTTTCGATTCCAAACAACAAAACAAAACGAAAACGAAAAATTTTGGTTCGGTTGATTTGGTTTGGTTTTTTGGACATTGACCAACCGACAAACCCCGAACTCAAAAATCAGGAATAAATTCCGAATATTAATTTGAAGAGAGATGATACAAGTTTCTTCTGGTATTCTCTTGGTTAGTTAGAATCATCAACATTGACATTCAATTTACCATAAATACCATTTGAAGTTTCAAATCTTAACCATCCCGAACGAAAAAAAAAACTAAAAACTAAAATCAAAATAAATAAATAAAATTTCCATTTTTGAAAATGCAAATTTATCATTTTTTTACTCTATTTATTTGAATAAATAAATGATCTTTTCTTTTTTTTGCTGACCAGAATTTCTGCATATATGAATTATGATGATCAAACCAAACCAAAATAATTTTTGTTTGTTGAAAAACATAAATCATTGCAAACAAATGAAGAAATTCTTCTTCTTCTTCATTCTTTCATTGCCTACATAATATTTGTTTGTTCGTTTGTGTCACATTTGATAATAATGGATTTTTTGGCTTGTTGGTTGGTTGGTTTTTGGTTCATGTCATCATTATTATTCAAGATTTGATGATAATGATGATGATTGGCTAATTGATGAACCAACAACGACAACCATTAAAATGTTTTTAAGTTTGGATGTTTGTTTGTTTGGTTAATCAATGATGATAATGTGGTGGACAATCAGCAAACAACAAGCAAACAAACAAACAAACAAACATCAAACGATGATCAAAATGTAAACATTTGTCTCATATCCATGATACAAACATATACAAACTAAAACACGCTTTTTCCCGATCAAACCGAAAAACCACTTTGGTTAGATTGATCAATCCATAAGTATTCTCATTTTTTGTTTGTAATTATCACCATCATCAATTTGAATTGTTTACCAATCGATCCATTTTGATTGATTGATTGATTGTAAATGAAACCCGCACTCACACACACACACACATAGGCAAAGTACCACTTGATCCAGAAAAAAAATTGAAGAATTTCAACAAAAAGAAAGAAATTTTTATCTTGCATCCTGTTTCTTGCGTTTTTTTCTTACGGTTGCTTTGCTTTGCTTTCATTCATTCTCTGTGTTTTTTTTCAAAAATTTGAAATTTTCTTTTTTTGCCTAACGATTGTGATGATGATGATCGTTTCAAATTGAAAAATGATGTAATATTTAAATTTCTGTGAAAACAGAATTTGCAAATTAGCAATACAATAATAAACTGAATCACAATCGATTCGATTCTTGATTCTTCACCCTTTTCCATATTATTTAGTTCGTTAAGTTTCTTTTCTTTTTTTTTGAACTGTGAAATCAAAGTGAACACCAAAATTCGTTTCAATGAATGAATGAATGGTTTATAAACAAATTGAATAAAGTAACCCGAATAATAAAAAAAAACACTGATTCTTCAACAGCATCATTATATTTTTTCAGCAAATTAATTCAATGTAAAGTTCACTCTTTCATCCATTCGTTCTTCAGTCATTTTTGGTATGCATGGATGCTTAGAATCCATTAGAGGTGATGATGATGATGGCCAATATCAATGGTATAATGAATTTCTATGCTTTTTTTTTCGTTGTGAATAATGAAATTCATTGCTTTATCATGATGATGAACAGCAACTCTATTTTCAAACGAATAATAATAAAAAAAAAGGGTCTGATTTTCGTCTATTTTCATCACCAAAATGAATGAATGAAAAAGATAGATAGTGTTTTGACATGGGAGAGAGAGAGAGAGAGAAAGGCGTAAAAGCGCAAAGAAAAAAAAGTTTACAAAACGATGACTGAACACAAGTGAATTCGACTAAAACTATATCACTTTTCATAGTGGATTCCCCATAATGATGATGATGATAACTAACTAACTAACAATAAAAGAAAAAAAAATGTAGATATCAAAAAAAACCATATAAACATTTGCATAAAACCCAAAAAAATTCTCATTATAAATGTGTGTTGGTGTTGGAACATCACACATATTTTTCTCATCGTCATTATCATCATTATGGTGACAACTTTTCTGAATGGAATCCTGGTTGGTTATAGAAAAAAGTCGACCAACCGTGATCGAAATTTTCTCCTTTTTTTCATTGGAACTTATTGAATTGAAATGAAAAGTGACAATTGTCAATTTGTTATATGAAAAAAAAACATATTGGTTTGGTTGTCATCAAATCATCATTTACATATTTTTTCATATTGCTCCCTATATATTTTCTCTATTTTTTGATGCCAAAAAGAATGATGTTCGGATAATGCCTGGAAAATGCTATGTCGAAGAAAGAAGAAACAAAATTTCTAATTAACTTTAATCGCGACTTTAGCTAATTATTAATATCTGATTTTTCAATAATAATTCTTTTGAGATTTGTGGTTGGTTATTGTAGGTTATTGATATATCATAAAGCGTGTCGATATGGTTCCCATAGGATTTTTTTTCATCCATAGGAAAAATGATCCATATCCATTTTGTAAATCACTTTTTTTTGTTGTTGAATTCGAGTGGCCGATCATTTATTCATTAAAAAGTTTATGTTTTTTATTTTTGTTACGGATAGCCAAAATGAAAAAAGACCAAAACATTATGGTTTTTCCAAACTACTGTTGTCGTGAAACAAAATGTATAATGTTTCCAAATACAATTCTGGAAACATTTTTCAAAATGAACAGTAGAAAAAAAAGATCAAAAAACGAATCACACGCGTTTTGTCCTCGTTATCGATGATCGTTGTTCGTTGTTGTTGTTAATTTTTACAAGAATCTTTTTACGAACAACAACAACAACAAATGACAGCGACAACAACAATGAAAAAAAATTCCAAAATCATTGAAGAAACACGTGATCAATTGTGAATTATGTATTCATTGAAGTGAGTGATTAAAAGTTTTTTTTCCATTCATTTCATTCATTTCATTCAATGAATGGAAAAAGAAATAAAAATGTGAACAACGGTAACTATTTTCATCCATCCATTCATTCATCCATTCTATGATCCGTATTTTAATTCTCTCTATTCATTCATTGGCCTCGTGCCTTTGACCTTAGACCTTTGAATCAATGATGATGATGACGATAACAATAATGAAACGATCAAGAGAGAGAGAGAGAGAGAGAGAGAAAGAGAGAGAGAGAAAATGTTTATTATTGTTGTTGTCGATTATGTCAATGTAGTCGTCGATGATGTTTTTTCATTCGAGTTACTTTACTTTCAACAAGATATATCAGTTATATCATAAGGTCTTTATTTTCACAAAAAAAAATTTCACAAACATCGGTTTTTCATGTTTAAAAAAATCCAGTAACCAACCACACACTACCATCATCATCCCATATCTAAATCGATCGAAAGATACTATACTTACTTTACTCACTTACTTCACTTACATCGCTTACTTCGCTTACTATTCTCTCACGTTTGATGCTCTTCGTTAAGCCAATAATCGGTTGGTTGAATGGTTGGTCGTACGTTCGTTCATTTGTTCGTAGGCTCCCTCCATTGTTGATGATAATGTTTCGATTTGTTTTTGTTATTCACTTTTCCAGTTTAGCTAGTTAGTTAAAGCGAAAAGCAAAAATTCTCTGCTGCTGCTCTATTCTGTGTGATTCTTTCTCTCATTTAGTCAAGTTAATCATTTTTTTGTTCCAATCGTCGTCGTCGTCGTTGATGATGCTTTTTTCATAGTTTTCATCGTTGGTAACCGTATAGTTTAGTTGGAAGTAAATTTTCTAGTAGTTTTTACACGCTTGAACAAATTTCTATTATTTTATTTTTCTCTTGTTGTTGTACAATGTCGATGATGTTTTGCGTTTGGATCAGAATCTTTTCATTGGATTTTTCTCTTTCTCATAATCACCCTATATAATAATAATTCCATATTGAAGAATCAATGATGATTAAATTGTTCGGGAAGGAAGAAAAATCTTTGAAAACAAATCATAACAAACACACACACGATATTGATGATGGCTGGCATATGCACATTCATATTGGTTGGCTGGTGATCGATTTTAGCCAATTTTTTCCGTGTTTTTCTGATTTGACACTTTTATGGGAAAAAAAGATTCTTATTGGATTCAGCAATAGCGACGAGGACGGCTTTAATCAACGAGACAAAAATGGCGCGTGTTGATGATTGTGAACTAAATGTGAACAAATGAACAACCGACAACAACAATCAATCGAGGAAAATATTCAAAATGTATCCATTTTACCGTTTGAATGATTTAGTAATTTGTTTGTTTGTTTGTTTGAAAACAAACAATATGATTAACCCGATCAACATCAACTATTTCGACACTACTAGATTAACGGAAAAAAATTCAGGAAGAGATTTGATTTGTGTTTTTTTTTGAGAAAACTAATATTTTTATTTCATTTTTTTTTGTATTATAATAATTATTATTATCAATGGTTGTTTTTACAATGGAAAAAAATGGGGGAAAAAAGATGAAATTTTTAAGATTTTCAAATAAAAGTAAAAGCATCAAGAGAGAGAGAGAGAGAGAGAGAGAGCGAGCGATTCAATTTAATATGAAAGAAAACTAATTTTTGATGAAGGAAAAAAAATTTAAAAAATTCATCAAATCTATTGATGTGATAAATCAATGATGACCAGATTTCATTTCAGAAGAAAGAAGAAAGAATTGCAAAAATTTTCTTATATACATCAACATCAATGAAGATATTCAATGTAATTAGCAATTTGGTTTTGGTTTTTTGGTTTGTTTTTTGTAAAATTCAAGCATAATGTGAATATGATCCAATATGTGATGTCATTGCTGGATGTGTATGATGTGGATGTGGATGTTGATGATGATTAGTTGCATGATGATGATGATGATGACCAATTGCAGCTGCATGATTTGATGCGGCTGCAATATTTGAATAAAGATTTGCCGCTGCAGCCGAACCAGTATTTGACCAATATGATGCTGCTGCTGCAGCGGCTGCTGTTGATGATGATGAAAATAATGTACCGGATCCTGATGTTGGTGAACCAATTGATGTACCAGCAGCAGCAGCAGTAGCTGCATGCATAGCAGCAAAATTTAAATGTGCTTTTGTTGTACCATGATGTGGATGATGTGAATGATGATGCGGATGATGTGAATGATGTGAATGATGACCACTATGATAACCGGATGCATGATGCATTGTTGTAAATAAATCGGCCGATTGATAGGCACCTTTATACATTGATGTATCAGTTGGACTAGGCTGTGTAGCTTGAGCAAGACCCTAAAAGAACGTGAAGAACAACACGAAAAACAACAAGATTTTTTGGTTCGATTCGATTGATGATGATGATTGTTTCCAAAAATCAAATAGAGAAATAAATAGATAAACAAACAAACAAAACAAGGAGAAAAAAGATTCGGTAAATTCATTGAAAACTTTGTATTTACAGAATAAATATAATAATCAGATTATTATGGATGACTAGATTCTATCTATCTTTATTTACTCGAGATATTCGAGATATATCGATATATATCGATGCTGATAAACTTCAAAAAATATAAATTACATAACAAAACAAGAACAAAAAAAAACAAACCTGAAAATCAAATTTATATGCGTATCGTTTTCCATGTACTTTAGTCATAATATTTTTATCATAATAATAACGTAATGCTCGACTTAATTTATCATAATTCATATTTGGTTTACTTTTTCTTTCGCCCCAACGACGTGCAACTTCATCTAAAGTGATGGAGAGAAAACAAACAAACAAACAAATGTTGTGACCACAAAAATCGTCAAGAATCATTGAAACATTTCAGGATAGGAATTGCAGGATAGGAAAAGCAACAAAAAAAACTAACCTGGATCGGTAAGTTTAAATTCACCATTAGTACCTTCCCATGTAATACAATTTGAATTGCCCGAATCGGATAATAATTCTAATAAAAATTGCCACAATTGTATCTGTCCTGAACCTTTATATTCAGTTAATATTTGATGATAACAACAACAAAGAAAAATATGAATGAAAAAAAACAACTTGACAAGTGCAATTTCAAGGGGGAAAGGGAGAGATGGAAATCCACCACAAAAGGGGAAAAAAATTCAGTATTCACATACCCGAACTTGCTAGCCGAGAGCTTGTTGGTCCAAACATTTGATATGGATCTATTGAAAAGAAATGAAAGCAAAGGCAAAAATGCAATATTACAATTTTAGAAAAATCATTCACAAAGAATCATTGCATATTAAAAATATAAGTAAGGTGTATTTACAGAATGGCAACCAACAACAAACAACAACAAAAATATGATATTGTAGCGGTGATCGAGTGGTTGTGTAAATATTTCAACATTTTTATAGAGATTTTTTTATATAAATAAATGAAATCATTCCAAAATATAAATAGTTCCAGAATCAGAATCAGAACCAGAAAACAACCAGAATGAACAGAATCAGAAAAAACCAGAATGAATAGAACCAGAATTTATTGTGACTTGATGATTCTTTCATTCAATCATCTCATATTACATAAGCCGCACATTGATATCATATTTTTTTCTGTTGTTTTCTGTTTTGTGTTTTGGATTCTATACAGAATTCAAAAAAAAACATCACAGAATCACAAACAAAGAGAGAGAGAGAGAGAGAGAGAGAGAATCTTATTCATCATTATCAATTGTAATTGTTAATTTGTAAATAATGATTGTTGTTGTTGTTGTTGTTGTGTCAACTCCAGAATTATAATAGTAAAAAAATTCTCAGTAAAAAAGACAAAAATTAATGGCTAAAAATCTGTCAGTCACAAAACACAGCAGCAGAACCAAGAAAAACCATGAAAATAAAAACGGTTCTCTTTTTCACACAGCAAACAAACAAACAAACGAACAAACGAACAATTCAAAACGCGAGCGTTATTCCGTTAAATGATGATGATGACTATGATGATGATGAGTGTTTGTGTAAATATTATCATTTCATTTCAAACAACGATTATGATGAAAATTATACATTCATCCAAACTGAATGAACGATGGCAGCGGCAAAGACATATTTTCGTTTACCCGGTTTGTTTGTTTACATCGGGGTTGGCTTTTTTAACGGGATCGAGGCATTTGGTTTCATTTTTTTTTCGGCTAAAAGCCACCATAGATAACAAATTAAGATGTTAATGTTGTTCGCAAAAGAGCAAGTGTTATGAAAAATATGAATTTTTTTCTCTCTCTCTCTCTTTCTTCCCTTCATCATCATGTCAAATATGTTCAAACAATTTTTCATCTGCGAATCCATACATCAAAACGACAACAACCAGAAAAGTTCCATCATCATCATCATCATCATCATCATCATTAGAGTGCAAATTGAAGTGAAAAGAGAGAGCATCATTCATTCATTCATTCATTTTCGATTTTCTTCATTGATGTTTAATTGCGCTGTTAATATCACAACATCAAAGGATACACAAGAAACAAACACTGACATAGAGGTATCCTTTTGGATGACTGATGACTTTGTTTACATTTAGAAAAATGGGAAAAAATGAATGTTTTTTTTGAGAAAAATGATGGTTTTTACTTGGAATTTTAGAATATTTTTTTTCTGTAATAATGACGTAAAATGATGATAAAATCCGAATGAATTTACTTGATTAAAAAGAAACTGACATTGAGTAAATAGGGAATTTCTTTTGAACAGAATAAATTATCGATCATTGCAATCGACAAAGAATTAAATTCATTCATTGGATGGCAAAAAAAACACAGAACACAAAAATATAAACATGGTTCATTAATTTTCAGTCACTCTCTGTGCTGATATCGAAAAAAATCGTTATAAATATAGATAGAAAGAATCGTACACAGAATATAGTGTAACATTCGGGCGTATTGATTTCATTCATTGATCAATTTCCAAAGTAATGGAATGATAGACTAACTTGTCATCAATAGTTGAATCAATAGTTTTTTGGCTTGTTTTTTTTGGTTGAGTTTTTTTCAATTTGAAATTCAATTCTCGATTCATTGGTTTCGATTGGATTTTTAGATGTTTGATTATATAATAGGATTATTAGTTAGGTCTCAGGGAATTTGAACATTTGTTTGGTTTTTGATTGAAATTTTTTTGTTTGTTTTCAATTTTCTATAATTAATTTGAAAAAAAAACAATAAATTTTGCTTACCTTGAATCGTATTACGAACATTAACATTTAAATGTGAATGCGTTTGATCAATTGATACACCAGCAACAGCGGCAGCAGCGGCTGCTGCCGCAGCCGCTGCCGCTGCTGCTTTATTTGTTATACCGGTTATTGAATTTGGATGATAATCTATAAATCGATAATACAGAAACAGAAACAAAATCAAATCAAAAATCAAAAATGAAATAATGATTGATAATTATAGATTCAAACAATTTGGAAAAAATACGTGTTTTTACCCAAATTTTTGGTTATTATGTAATGATTTTTTTCAACTTTGCGTGTGTCGTTTGTGTCTTTTTTTTGGTTTGATTGTGTGAACGATTTACGTGCCGACGACAGCTCGTAATCGTTTTGTGATGATGATGATGATGATTATGAAATGTATGAATAATAATATGGTGGCTGGAAAAACACCCAATCATCATTATCAAATATAATAATTATGTTACGCACAAAAAACGATACAGAATCAGATTTATGTTCAGAACTTGTTTGAACTGATTGTTTTTTTTTTAAAAAAAAGGTAGCTAATCATTTTAATTGATACATTTTTTTTGGATCCAGAAAAATGATTGTTGGTTACATTAATGACAAAAAAAACCGAAAAACCCAAAAACAAAAAACAAAAATTTCTGACATGAAAAATATATGCCCCAAAAATTCATTCATTCAATTAATTTCAATCATGTCATGTCATTTAAATATTCATTCATTCATTCAGCCTTTCAGATTATTACGTCATCATCATTATTATTATTATCGTATGGGATTGTCAATGGTGGTGATGATGATAATAACATTCATGGGTGTTATGGCGATCGTATTACCCGGGTGCAACAATAAAAAAAAATCGCACAGCACGCAATCCTAATCATCATCATCATCATCATTGGTCCCGTGAGACGATCCAAAAATCTCTCTCTCTCTCTCTCTCTCTCCGTGTCACCAATCAACCAACCGATCGATCGATATAACCGAAACATTTTTTTTCAAAAAACATTGCATGTTTTCTAATTCGGTGGGCTAGTGTAACAAATAAAATGAATGAATTCCCTTGATAAAATGATCAATTTCATTTTTGTATTTTGATTTTCGGGTGTATTTTTTTCTGTTGTTGTTGAATGTTAACTACATAATTTCAATTAGTCAGTTAGTTAGTCAGCCTGTCATCAGATTTTTGTAATTTATATTTATACTTTTGACTTATTTGACTTGTATTTTAAGCCAAAACAAAATTTCAAATTCAAATCAAATCAAATTGAATTGAAATGTTTTCTTGTTTGAAAAACTGTTTTATTTACATTTGACTATTTTGATTTTTGATTTAAATAGATTATTATCACATCCTAAACAAATACAGTCTCTGTGTTTGTGTTTGTTTTCGTTAAATAATCAATGAATGAATGAAATAAATATAGTGGGAAAAAAAAGAAATCTTTGTTTTTTTCGGGTGACAACAAAATGATAAACGATTTATTTTTCCTTGAGATTATCTCTACTCAATAACCAAAACGTCACTTTGTAAATCCACATTTGTATTTTATGACTTTATAATAAACTTATTTTGGTGAATGGTGAAACGAAAATTAAAACTCGGAAAAAGTTTTGACAAAATTTACAAAGTGTAGAAAAAAGTGAGAAAATAAAAAATGATTTTAAAAATGGAACCGGAATAACTGAATTGAATTGAATTTGAAATGCGAAGTTCAAATAGAAAAAAAACGACAACAATGTTGACCTCAAGCGACAGATTGATTTATCATTATCAAACAAGTTTTATTAAGGAATGTTTTTTATTTCATTTCAAGAAATTTTCAATTTTATAAATTCTGTAAACGATGATGATGATGGTAATGTTTTATAACAATTCTTTTAGCCTGAAGCAACGAAAAGCAAAAGTGAGAGAATCCTTTTATACTCCGAAACGATTCATTCATTCATTCATAAATAACATGACACCACACGACAAAGATAATGACATCAATATGTTTGCATTCCTTGTTTGAATTGATGATATATTTTATCATCATTACCATTATTGTCATTGTGGTAGAATAATGTTAGCATCAATATAAAGAAAAGGCAAGAAGAAGCGAAAACCGGTTAAGGTTCGGGTTCGCTTTCAAAGAAGAACAAGAACAAGGAAGAAGAAGAAGACAAGGAAGGAACCAACTAATTATCAGCTAATCATATCCTTCCTTTTTTTATTGCTCCTCTTGGATTCTTCAGAAAAAAAAATTTCTTTCTTTCTTTCTCTCCCTCCTTTCTACTTCTTGGTTAAAATAAGACTATTATTCATCATTTTTTACTGTTTTTTTTTTTGTCAATTTCAATCGGAGAGAAGAGAAAAAACTTGAATATTCTATTTAACACTGTTTTTTTTTCTAAATTCATTAATCGATTGATTGATTATTACTTACTTTGTGTTGGTGATGATGGTGTTGTCGGAGAATTCCATGATGATTTATAGCTAGATTCTTTTGAATGAAAATGGAATTTGAATGTTTTTCATTCGTTTATTTTGGTTAATCAAACAAACAAATCGGGGAAAAAAACTTACCTGTAAACAACATATTGTTTGGCAATGGCGATGATGATGGTGTAGGTGATACGGATGATGCGGATGATGACGGTGTTAATGTTGGTGATGATGTTGTGATCGCCGTTGTTGTTGTTGTTGTTGATGGTGTATTGGATAAACTAAATTTGGATGAAAATATCGATGGTGATGAACGATCAAATATCGATGGTGATGGTAGAAATGATGCTGGTGAATTGGATGAATGTTGATGATAATAAGAAGAATGGTGATTATATGAATCACAAAAATTAAATTTTGAATTCGACGCTTTTATCAATGCAGTATTCATTCAGTAAATTTGGTAAATTTGGTAAAACTTCGAAAGAAAAAACGAAAAGCAGAAGAAGAAGAAGAAGAAGAAGCAGAAACTGAATGGTTAATTGATGGTTAATCACAGATCACAGAATAATAATATAGGTGTGTAGTGCTTATTGGTTAAATGAAATTGTAAAATTTTTTTACAATTTAAACACTGGTTACTAGTGTAGTACCGTTGATTTTGTTGATTAGAATACGAATGAAAAATATCTTTCGAATAGGAATATTGGGGTTTAATATAAATGATAATAATCAACAAACAGTGCAGTGCAGTGCAGTGTTATTTTTTCAACTTTAACTAATAATCAACATCAGTAACGAGAATTATCATCAACAACATCAAACTGTACATGTTTTTTCTGGCCATGTTCATCATCAATTGATCAAATGAAACACACGCAGACACTTATCATGGAAGAAAATATGATCCAATCAGATTTTCGGATTTCAGAATGGAAGCCGCCCACTTTCAATACTAACAATGATAAATGTGTGGGTGGAGCTTGTCAAATTTCTATATACAAATGTGTGTGTATACAATTTGTGAATGGTTCGCTGTATTCAAACGAATAAAATTCAGTCTTGCCCTGTCATTTCAGAATTATTTTTCTTGTTGACTATATAGATAAATTAAGCAGAAAAGAGCAGAACAGAATGATAAAACATCATCAGTTCAGTTCAATTATTTATCCCCGAAAAAAAACGAAAAAAAAGTAAAGAAACTATACCGTTTTGGCTTCTAAATAACTGAAACATCAACTTACTTTACTGACTTTTTTTTCTTCTTTCTATCTGGAGTTTGTCAATTCAATTTGATTTTTTACGTCGTTGTTTAGTTTAGTTTTTCCTGAGAAAACAAAAAATTGCAAAAAAGGTTCATCAAAAACATTGCGCTCATGCTCAAATCAATGAATAATGATTTTTAATTTTCATTTTCTGAAATATTTTTCCACCATTGATGTTCCACCAATGATAATAATGACATTAATTTAAATTACCATCATCATCATCAACTGATTTTTAACAAGAAAACTAATTTCTTGTCAATATTGATTTTCTTTTTCATCATTAAAAAAATTCTTCTTTTTGCATTTTGAATTTCACAATTTCACAATGAAGAATCGACTTTTTCCCTCTCCCCACAATTATCCAGATATTCGATTAAAAATCAGAAAATATGAAAATCAGAAAAATATGAAATATGAAAAGAATGCTATGAACCGCACGGAATCATACAACAACAGCGATAACGATAACAAACAACTACGAAAATAATGCTGGTAATTATTTTGGATCGTTTAATTTTCAAGCTTTTTTCAATCCAAACGTTGACGACGACGACGACGATATCAATTATGTTTTATTTTTTTTCTTTCCAAAATGAATGAATGAATGAAAATAAAATGAATTAACGTTTCGCATATCGAATCATGTTTGATGATAATAATGATTATCATACAAATTTTTTTTTTCGCTGAAAGAAAAGAAAAGAAAAGAAAGAATATTTTTAAAAAGCATAAAGAGTGACACGTGAACAACAACAATAAATTCTGTGTGTGTATATGGATATAACCAGTGGTATAACCACACATACAATTTACATTGGTTTACAGATGCAAAAACATTTGATCAGATGAAAATAATAATAATTTTCGGGTTGACATTGATTACTGAAAATTTTTTCCTTTGATTTTTCATTGTTCGTTCGTTCGTTCGTTCAATGTTGTTACCATCATCGTGATCATCAATGGTAGTCTCGTCGATCAAAACATTATCGTCGATCATCAACCATTTTGACCGAATATTCAATGTGCGTGTGCGTTGTCTGTCTATTTTTTCGTTCGTTCGTTCGTTGATGTTAGTTATTCATTTGAATTTTTCTATTCATTTCATTTCTTTGCCACATCAAAAATCATTGGCGAATCATACACGTGTTTTGTTTTGTTGTTGTTCAGCATAGACAACAACAACAACAACACGTGCCTATTATCAAAAGTCTTTAAATATTTTTTTTGTTGTTGTTGTTGTTATGATTAATATCGAACCAGCAGCATTATCTACACACACGCTATACTCTCTCCCTATATTTGGTAAAAACAAGCTTGACATCTTTTTTCTCTCGATGTCGTTATTATCATCATCAAGATCATCATTTTCATTGAACGAATTCGGTTTGCTATTTCGGCTTTTTTGCTAATTTTCATCCAATGTTATATATATAGAGAGAGAGAGAAAGAGAACTGAATTGAACATCCATATAGAAAATTTGAAAAATATCTATAGCTAATAAACAACGATGATGATGACAATAATAACAATTCAATTCAATGATTTTTTTTTCTTTATTCTTTTGGTTTGAAATTAGAAACGATCATCATCATCATCATTGAGAGAATTTATTTCTCAATGAAGAAATCATGAATGAATTGAGTATAGAATGATGGAAGAGAAAAAAGACAGTATAAAAGATAACCAATGGTCTATTTTGACCATTATTGTCTATTTTTGCCATTTGATACGGATATCTAATGAAAATGCTTCTATTGTATAGTATCGATTTTGTTGTTTGATGAAAGAAGAAGAAAGTTAATGTTTTGATGATGCCCGATCATATTATTATTGATGATAATGATTTCTTTTCGCTGATCATCATCATCATCATTATTATCAATCCACTCATTGATTTCATAACTAAAGCAATAACTAATGTTTGATATGAGAAAAAGACAACAAAAAAAACAACAACAATATTCATTTCATTTTGATTCAAATCATTTTGAACAATTAATAATTTGTATACATGGATGAAAATGAATAAAAATAAAAAAATCTTGGCGAGAAAAAAAAATCATCAATTTTCGATTTTTTTCCCCAGAATAGTTATTGTTATACAATTTTGCTTTTTGGCCCACTATTCAAATGATAATTAACCATCATCATTCGCATTTGGATCACCATATTCGCATTTGGATCTGATCAGTCGTTTCGTTTATTGTTTTCTTTCGACGATAAATTTACGAAAAATGATTTGTGTTGGCGTTGGTGGCGGTGTGTGGGTGTATTAATCATCATCATCTCGGGTACATCTGCTCAATTGACCCCAGCCAATGATAATAATAATAATGATGATGATTGTCGTCTGTGGAATTTTTTTTGTTATTTAAAAATCAATTAATCATTTGATGGTCTTAAATGAATTCAATATTGTATCATCATCATCATCATTGTCTTGTGTGCGCGCAGCATTTACATTATTCATTATTGGTCAGTGTCCACCACCATTATTTATCATACAGCAAAAATTCGGGATCCCTGTAAATTGGCAAAAAAACAACAAAACAATAATATCAACGGTGATGATGATGATGAAAATCATCACCATCACCGTTATCATCGTCATAAATTTTCCCAAAATATTTTTTTCTTTGTTCCGGATGAGAATGATGATAATGAAAAAAAAAATTCCAGTCATAATTTGATTGGAAATTTTCATTTAGCAGAGATTTCTCATTCTGGCCCTCTCTTTTCATCGTCCATATTTTTTGTTTTTTGTTGTCATCACTACATTGTAAGCGAACAACACGATGAAAAAAATATTGACACAATTTTATTATTTTAGCTGGTCGAATTGAATTTACACGAAGAAAAAAGAAAAATTTCCATTCAAATCAAATGAATGAGCAAAAATGAATGAATAATTGGATTTCTGAATCCAAACAACCAAACAACAACAAATTAGCAAAACAAAAAACAAAATTTGATTTCACAATAGATGAAAAACAACAGAGAATGGAAAAAAGAAAAAATCAAAACAAAAACATCGATAGAGAGAGAGAGAGAGATTGGAGAATGGAAAATTTTTTCATTGAATCGATTCTTTTTTGGCCCAAAAAAAAGTGGGCAAAATTTATTAGCAAAAAACTTTGTTAATTTCAATTCTAAAAAAAGGAAAATTGGAAAAATAAAAATCAATTCT